TATAGTGAAGTACATATAGTATTCTCTCAATATAAACTATAGTGAAGATTTTTTCTCATCACTATAACAAAAATAAGTGTATATCTATCTACGCGTCTTCCGTATTTTTCTAAATTAGCAAACTGTTATAAGTTACATTTTGTATTGTTTGGTTCGGGAGAGCAGCGCATAATAAATGCGTAACGTGGCTCCAACCAATACTTGAAATTTTAAATGGTACAAAGTTTTTAATAGGCATAATGATTCTGTAATAAAGAGCCAATAATGGTGTGGACTTAATTAAAGAAGATCACTATGACTATACTACTTTATGATAAACCAAGATCCTTCTTTTTTTTTTTTTTTTTTTTTTTCTTATTTAACCCCTTGATGTTGTACGTACATCATGGGACGTCATGTGACGCTGTTTATTAACGTGTGTGCTTATATTTAGTTATTATTACATTTATGTATTATTATATTCAGTTATTAGATTGTTTAATTTACAGATTTGGTTAAGAAAAATTCTTTCTTTATTACGTAGCTTCTTGCTTGCCAATAGTGCTCGAATTTCTCTTGTCATTTGGTCTTTAAGGATAAAAGGTAACGCTGGTATTGGTGGGGATTGTTGCTCCATTTCTCATTAACAAACCAGTACCAAATTTCATAGACTACATTGATATGTAACCAGACCATTATCGGATAGGTTTGTTGAGGTTTCCTATTCTCAGCTGTTATGACTGTTTCAATTGTTTCAGGTAGTCTGACTTCTTGCGAGATTCCAAAAAAGTTATACACCATTTCCCAGATCATTTTACTGATTCTACACTTTAAAACAAAGTGATCAAGTGTTTGTATCTCATCTTGGCACCAAGGACAGTTTATTGATTCCAGAGAGACATGAACCATTCTACGACCTATAGGTAAAGCATTGTGCATTATGCGCCAGAAGATATCCTTTTTCTTATTAGGAATCCACTTTATACATGACCAGGCCCAGTTTTCTTTTCTATCATTAATACTAAATAGATTAGCTCGTGAAAGCGTAGGTGTTATTGACTTTTTTCTTAAAAATTTTGTTGCACCGGCAACTGTAAAGTTATCTCCTTTTGAGCCCATAACTTCTATTGAGTTAATGCTCCACGGCCATCTACCTAATGAGAGAGGGACTTTTCCTTGGATTCTTCTCCATGCTGAGAGGTAAGGTTTCCATTTACAGGGCCAGGCCCTAAGTCTGATGACTGGTGCAACAAGTGCTTCCTCAACTGTTTTATTTCGTTTGGAACGTAAACTTGTATCTATGTCTTCTCTCTCCATCCTAGCCCAGGAGTTTTGACTTGTTAACAATTTCAACCAGATTGAGATTAATCTCTCATCTAACATGTCGGGAAGTACAGGAGCTTTCAAGCCATTTTGTTTATATGCCTGCTGGAAAATTGAGAATCTCGGCAGAATTTTAAAGCTATTTTTGATCCATTTTGTTATAATATCGCTTATTTTACTTAGTTGTTTTCTGGTTGGAGGCAATATATAGGCCGTATACCAAACTTTTGATAGCAGGAGCGATTTAGCAACTAAAATTCTTCCATGGAATAAAAGGTTGCGCTTGTTCATTCTCTCTGCTTCCTTTTTAATTTTTTGTGTGAGCTTATTCCAAATATTCTTGTTAGGTTGATCTTTATTGTTAATTTCATAGCCGAGAATTTTGATTGGTTCATTGTCTTTTAATTTAGTAAAATTTTCGTCCCCTGGGAGCTTTGTACATGATGCATTATCTAAAAGAGGAACAAGAGTGGATTTTTGCTGATTTATTGCTGTGTTAGATGCATTTTCATAATGAGAGATTATTTGATTAAGATTTGTCCAGTCATTAAGTGATCCCACCCCAATAGTTATATCATCTGCATAAGCTGCAACTCTAAATTTGATGCTTTTAATTGTTATACCCTCAAGATCACGAGTTAGTGCTTTCAAGAAAGGTTCAAAGGAGATAATATATAGAAGTGAAGAAAGAGGGTCACCTTGTTTAACTCCTCTTTTGACCCTGAATGATGTGGAGATAGGGATGTTAATAGTTCAGTTTTAGACTATTAAACTATAGGTTAAAACTAAATAACTATAAAACTAAACTATTAT